ACATTCTTAGGTATATAACATGTTCCTGGATTTCTCCTCCCAACAACCTCATTCTTGTTCCAGGATCACTTTTTAATTATTAGAACTTTATAGTTTATTAGTAGCTATTAGATCTGATATTTTTCTTCCTGGTACTGTTTCTAAAATACTCCTCTGTGTTCTCAGATATTTATTATTCAGCTTAGGTATTTTAAAACTTGATGCAGGAGCACCCGGGTGGCTCAGTCGGTTAAGCAGCTGCCTTCGGCTCAGGTCATGATCCCGGGGTCCTGGGATCGAGTCCCGCATCGGGCTCCCTCCTCAGTGGAGAGCCTGCTTCTCCCTCTCCCTCTGCCTGCCGCTCCCCGTGCTTGTGCTCGCTCTCTCTCTCTCTCTCTCTCTCTCTGTCAAATAAATAAAATCTTTAAAAGAAAATAAAACCTGATGCCTGTGTGCTCTAGGAGATGTGCTAAACTGTGGTTCAAGTCTTAGTAATACCAGTGCCTGGGTTCTTCGTAGGACTGTCATTTTTAAAGAGTCCTCATCAGTTCCTGTTCTCTTTTCCCCTGCCCCGCCCGAACGCCGTAAGTCCTCAAGCCACTCAGTGGAGCAGAGCATGGCAGGCGGCGGCAGCAGTTTTGGAGGACATGCCCTAATGGACTAGGAGAGGGGCCCTGCGTGGAGTGAGGGGTCACCAGTCGTGGGGGTGGTGCTGAGGGGCCTGGCGCGCTGTTGGAGAGCGCGTACACGTGAGAGGTGGCCGGCAGGGTGCTCGCGCTCAGCTGGTGTCAGGAGGGCACCTGCACCAGAGGTAGAAGGGGCAAGAGTGGGGATAGATGACTACAGGGGTTGACCTAATATAAGTAGGTTAAGAATAGTGAGGACCAGGTGTCTCTATTGGAGAAGGCAGTTACAGTACAGAGAGGAAGGCCGCCCCAGTGAGCCCTGGAGCGTCTGATTGGAATTGAAGTTACGGATGTGAACCCATGATTTTTGGTACAGTTACAGAAATAAATATGGTTGTGTGTGCACACACATGTTCCCTGGCTCTGTTCTTTGAAAGGTTCTGGAAGCAGCCCCAGCCACCCTCAGCGGGGATGCCTGGTGTTCAGAGCTTGACTTGTAACACCACTCGCCCCTAAACAGAACTAAGGCTCCTGGTTGTAGGGCTGACGCGGCTTTCCAGTGGTGCCGGAAAGCTCAGCGGTGCTCAAAGAATGGAGTGGCTTGGTCACGAGGCTACAGAAGCCGGCTGGAAGGGGCTCCTAGTGGCCAAATCTGGAGCGAATCAAACATCAAAATAAAACAGTAGCGCTGAATAAAGGAGGAAACCACGAGTCCATGTTGAAATAGATAACGAATGAGCAGATTGAGTGTTTGAGGATATTTTACAGTATCAAAGTCCTTTCCCACAAAATAATGCTTATTATTCATAAAGGGAGGAAGGGTTGCTTTAGAGCAGCGAAGCTTAACAGGTACCACCCCTAACCCAGGAGCTGAACCTGATGGGGGTGATGAGGGGGTCAGTCAGAATCATCACACAGCAGGGCTGTAGCAAAACAACAAAGCCTCGGTCCTGTGAGATTCCTGCTGTGAATTTGATCTTGAGGACACCTCAGACAAACTGAAATTGTGACCATTCCACAACCTATATTCCTCTTAAAACCATGAGAGCCACGGGAGGGCTGAGGAGCTGTCCTGGCAGCTGGACGCAGCATAGGATCTGAACTGGGTCTTTTTGGTAAAAAGGACACTTTGGGATCAGTTGGAAAAACTTAGATGGGGTCTGAGGATTAGGTCTTAATTTATCATAAAGTGTTAATGTCCTGTTATTGATTGTAAGAGAATGTCTTTGTAGGAGATACTGATGTCTTGCCAGGCGTTGGGGTGTCAGAGATCAGCTGTTTAGAAAAGTATTTTTTACTGTATTTGCAACTTTTCTCTTAAGTGTGAGATTTTTTAGAGGGAAAAAAAATATTTCCTTGAGGAGCCTCTTTTAGAAATTGGGCTCCTGGCTAGGATGACAATTAAGAAGTATGTGTCTGACTCTTCCTTATTAACAGCTTTTAGGGTTCTCCTCCGTGATGATCATGGAGGCGTGTGTGTGCGTGTGTTTTCAGATCTTTTTTACTATAAAGGTGTTATTCGAAATACTTGTGAAGAATGTAGAGTAAGGTGTGATGCCAAAAGTCCCGAATTGCCCTTTCTCCAAATTTAGTCACTAGAATGGCCTTCGTTAAAAAATTTCATGTCACTTTTCGGAAATTTTCTGTGCATGTACGTACCCTTGTATTTATGTATTTGTATATATTTACTGTGCAAATTGAATTATCCTATATACACTTTTTTGCCACTTACTCTTTTCATTAAATATATTGGACATGGTCACACATCGGTACATGTAAAAAGATTGCTGCCTTTTTATTTGCTGCATAATCTGTTTTTAGTTGTATCATAATTAATGAGTGCACTTTATGGCTATTTTGATTCTTAAATATTTTGAAACAAATGGTGTTACAGTGAATGTCCACATATGTTTCTTAACACATTTGGATATGTTTATCTGTGAGAGAAATTTCTAGAATTGAAATTGATCATAACTTACGCATTTTTTAAATATGTGATGATTCCAAGCTACTTCTAAGGATTCTAAGGAAGTAACAACCCTTTTAACGCTGGAAGTCCTGCATTCAGATCTATGCACCTCAGCAGACATAAGATACTCTCCATCTCTCATCTTTGCCAGGCTCAGAGAGGAAGACTGTATCTCATTTTCGTCTGTATTTGAGTCCGTAGTTAGTCTGTATTTGCACTTTGCTGTGGATGGCTTTTTCAGTTCTTCCCACTTTTTATTGGTCTTACTGATTTTATAAGAGTTAAAGAAGGGGGAGCCCTGTTTGTCATTATTTCTTGACCATGTGGGCAGTTTAAATTTTTATGTAGTCAGATTTATCAGTCTTTTTCTCTGACAGTTTCAGGGTTTTGCATCCTGCTTGGAAAGAGTTTACTCTTCAAAAAATGATATATATAATATATATATGTATTTTATATATATATATATTTTAAAGATTTTATTTGTTTACTTGACAGAGAGAGACACAGTGAGAGAGGGAACACAAGCAGGGGCAGTGGGAGAGGGAGAAGCAGGCTTCCCGCCGAGCAGGGAGCCCGATGCGGGGCTCGATCCCAGGACCCTGGGACCATGATCTGAGCCACCCAGGCACCCTGAAAAAATTATATTTTTAAAATACATCCCCCCCCCAATATTTCCCTTAAAAAATCTTTGATTTGTGTGGCTGGTTTGTGGTCCCAACACCATTAATAGGATGTGAGAACACCTCATTCTCGGTTTGTGAATTTTAGGTTAGTATGATTATCATTCATGTCACTTAAGAAAGGGAGTGATTGTAGAGGAAGGGGCAGTTATTGTGAGGGAGAAATAGAAAAGGAGTTTGCAGGAGCTGGAGAGATGGGGTTGGTACAGGACGCCCTGCATGAATACAGTTCCAGATCACTGTAAATTAGGAAAAGAAAAATATGGCACTGAAATGTACATTTGGGGTTGAGTAGTTTCTGTCATGTCGAAGTGTAATCTTGTTTTTCTTATTTAATATGTTAGTTTATGGCCGGTTTGATTTGTAAATAGATAGGTATGGTTGCCATCTTGTGGTTCTGCATTACCGAACCTTAACTTTAGTGTGGATGCTGCTTTCAGGCCTGTGGGTTCATCTCGGCTGTGGCTGGTACGTGTAGCTCCGTGTTCCCACAGTGGACATGCACTTGGTTTGTGGAGTGGTGGGTGGTATCTAGGCTCTCTCTTGGGACTCAAGCCTTGAATTAAAGGTGTGTCTGTCTGTCTTTGGACCAGTTGGTTTGTAAATGTAACTGGGTAATAGGTTCCACCACTGCCGTTGGATTTTGATCCCCGGCTGTAGGTAATGCATTCAGACCTGGAAATTTAGATCAGCTCCTTGCTCAGTTTTCTTCCCATCTCTTCATTTCCCCTGTTTGTCTTCCTATTGAACGTTTATTTCCACATTTGCATACCCAGAAGCAATTTTACCTAACGTGCAAGGTAATTTTGGTCCATAGGGTCATCTCTTGGTATAGTATCTAATGACTTTATAATTAATATGAATGGCAGGTCAAAAACCTTGGGGAGAAATTTAAGAATTTTAAATGAGCATTTAACGTGTTCGAAAGTAATGGAAGGGGATTTGTATGTTGAGCAGGGTGACAGTTTTGTGTGCTGTGAGTGTCATAACCTTGATGAATTGGTAGTCTCATTCCCTAGGAGGAGAGTAAAGCTGAAAGGCTAAGTAGCTGGTTTAGGGTGATTCAGCTTTTAAGTGGTTGAGCTGGTATTCAGATCCTTGAGGAAACTTTCCATTAGACTGTACTGTAACTATGCCCCTTATTGCAGGGTCCCTTTGTAGAGAAGACTTGCAGCTGAAGTCTTTTAATTACATTAATAAAATGTGAGGAAAGCTGGTTTTCAAAGATAATGGTTTAGAATCACGGCGTGATGCAGTGGAGCGAGTCATCAGTTAGTCATGCCTTAGGACGTAGTCCTACTTGGAGCCCCCAGACCACCGCATTCCACAGTTTCCAGGGCCCGCAGCACCCCAGCACCCTAGGCTCTTAGGTTCAGAGTATGGGAAAGTGCCTTCATGGGACAGGCAAGTGAGGAAAAGTAGCACTTGTGAAGAAGAGTAAAGGAATTGCCGTTCTCATTCTGAGCAACCATACATATATATATATGTATAGTTGCATATATATTTTTTTGCCAGAATTGCAACCATATCACTAGATTATAGAAAATTAAAAATAAGCCTGTTCATTAGATTTTTGCAAATAGGTTTAACTTTTATCCACTTCCTCCTATGGGAAATACATTAGAAAATAATAATAATTTTCCTTAGGAAAACCGTCTGTTTTTTATACCTGAATTAAACGGCCACGTGCGCTGGCCTGAGATCTGTCCCACGTGAAGTTAACCCCGGTCTTGTCTTTGTGCGCAGGCAGCTATTTTCCACGTCATCCCAAGCTTTCCTGCAGAGTCAGCGGGTGCACAGCTTCTTTCAGGCCGTACCAGCGGACCCCCTGCACAGCCTCAGTAAGCGCCTCTCCTCTCCTCTCTGGAAGCCGGCTGCTTTCTCGCTCAGTCCTGCTTCACCGTGCCGCCCCTGGGGGCTGGCCGCCGGCGTCCCAGTCGGGGAAGAGTGGCATTCGATTGAGAACATCTCTAGTCTTCCGTGACATTGACACCGCAGTTTTAAAGCTAACATCACAGATCTGAGTGGCCTCCAGGCGGAGGCCAGCTGTCTCCGGACTCATGCACATACTGGGCCCCCCAGGGCTGGTCAGCCTGAGCAAGCAGGTCGTAGAGGTGCTCCGCTGCCGAGCGCCTGGTGTCGAACCTCTTAGAATCTGCCTTTCCTCCTGGGTCCCCTGTCTCCATAGTGACCTCCTCGGCCTCTCAGTCTGGAAACCTGGGCCTTACCCTTTTCACTTTCCCTTTCTGTAGTCAGTCATGGACAGGCCAAGCCACACTGGACGAAGGATGTCTTCCTTTCTGGCCCCCCCCCACCCCCCCCGCCCCAGCGAGTCCTGTTGTTGGCAGTTAAGCCTTTCTTTCCTGCACACCCTGCGCAAAGCCTCTCGCTAGTCTCAAATTCTAGTTTCTCGCTTTACTTTAACCTATCCCAGGATTACCTTAGGGATCAGTTGCTTAATCCCCTCTTCAGAACGTTAAAAGTTTGGGTTGAAATTCAAGCCCAGCCATGAGCCTCCTTGTACCTTATTGCTAGTCTCTCAGGCTTGGCGTGCACCCAGTACACCTGCCGTTTCCTGTCCCAGTGTCTTGGCTTGTTCTGTACCTGAACTTCTAAATGGCCTTCCTTTTGGCACAGCCCGTTAAAATCACACCTATTTTAAGACCCAACTGAAACACCACCTCCTGAAGATTTCCCCACCTTTTCCTTCTATTCCTGTGGGTTGGTTTTCCCTCATGTCTCATCCTTCATCACAGTTGGCCTTGTGTGTTGTTTGATGTCATCTTTCTCAACTGCCTGTTTAAACAAATATTTTGCCAGGAGCATGGATGTGTGCTTTAGGAGAATGTGCTGACTTCCAGCACAGCCACTCTGGCAAGTGGCTATTTACTTTTTTAAATCTTCTCTTCTGCTTTCAACAAAGTCATATTTTCTTGTACCTAAAGGGGAAAGAAAATGCATATTTCCTCATTTTGAGGTGGAAGAAAAAGAGTTTAAAAAAAGTAAGGTGATTGGATATTATAACATGGGTTAACTTAATGTTAAAGTTTCTCTAATGGGGCACATGCGCCTTAAATATTTTAAACAAACAAGTAGCAATTAGAATTAATGACTTTTGATGACTAGTTAGTAAGACAAGATGAACAACCCCGTGGTTAAATTTATGTCTGAATGGTGGCAGTAGCTGTATTTTTTTTAAAGGAGAATCCTAATCATTCTAGAGCTGTATAGATTTAATAGTCAGTGCTTCTGCTTGAACTGAGTGTAAGTACTTTTTAAGGAATATCACGAAATAGATCTGTTTAATTCTCAGAAAGCATTGAAACACGAAGTTAAACTTCAAATTCAGATTTTAGCAGGCTGCCCAGGAACAGTGGCCCAAGTGAGTAGTGCATAGATAAATAATAGAAAACTCATCATGAGAGCTTTACAGTATTCAAAGTGCATGAGCAGCGCTAAAGAAGGTATCAGATTGCAGCGAAATTAAAATGTATTAAAAACACACGTTTTGAGATTGTGGAAAATCTGGTCAGGATGATCCCATTGTTTCACCGAGTTCATTTGTCCTTTTTTTTTTAAAAAAGAATGACAGCTCTACCCTTTTTCTCCCTAGGATAGAGCGTAGTATTCTAGATTCTGAAGATTGAGAAAACAAAATTGTTAAACTCCTAAATGACTTCAGAATTAAACTCTGAAATCCCATCGGTCTGTATTGTAACGGAGAAGTCGTCCGGGGCTTTCAGAATGTGTTCGGTGACCGGTCAGTGCTGGCCCATGAATTGCTTGTCACTGCTCTGTAATAGAAGAATAGAAACTGAGAGTCGACAGTCTGTGTAGCAGTTTGACACTGCCACACGTGATCATATTTTTAAAAGTAATAGTTTACAACACACTAGAAATTTGAAAGCCTCAGCACACACTGATGTTTGGGAAGCACTCATCTAGTGCTGCTTCTCATTTTGCATGTGAGCACGTGGGGAAGAGAGAGCAGCCTCCGCGATCAGATCCCCACTCCCAGGCCAGTGTTTCGTGCTCTGTCACTTTGGTTTCTTAAAGGGCCCAGCTAGTAGAAGTGTTCCCTTTGCCACTAACTCTCTACTCTCCTCTTCTTGGGACAGAAGGAATCCTTCTGTGTGTTTTCTTTTATTATATTTTTCCTAAAAAGTTAATGATGCTGAATGCTTCCTTGCAGATAACTTACAATCCTCTCTGAAGACTTCTAAAATCTTAGAACACTTAAAGGAAGACAGTTCGGAAGCCTCAAGTCAAGAAGAAGGTAAGTGTGGATTCACTGGAATAAGTCATTCTGCCTGATATGGGCAAAGGGAGAGGCAAATGGACGATTAGAACAGATTAAGGAGCCAAGAAACAGACATCTGGGAACTCGGAATGTGACAGGTGGCATTATAAATAAGTGAGGAAAAAATAGACTAGTCAATAAATGATGTTGGTTGGCTTTCCAGTTGGAAAAAAATCTCATTAGATCTATACTTACATCATGCACAGAAATTGCAAATGAATAACAAAATATGTGTAACATATAAACGTAATATGTAAATTATAAAATGGAACTTTTAAATGTTAATAATCTGGGACAAGAAGGCTTTCTTGACAAAAGCAGAGCATGACTGTAGTGGAGATCTTCCTAATCTAAATTAACTGAACATGTGACCCCAAAACCAGACAATTAGAAGACACTTACAGGATATTCACAGTTGAAGCAAGACTACATCCAGACAATAGAAATATTCTTTCAAAAAATCAGTGAGAACATCAGTCTGATTGGAAGTATGGACAAAAGATAAAGATAGTTCATGGAAGAAGAAATTTGAACAGCTGTTGAGCAGTGTTTAGCGTCATGAGTAGTGGGAAAAATGCACACTGTAAAAACAGTGAACTATCATTTCATGCTCATAAGATCGGCAAAGCACTTTTGAGCCTGACATTACCAGGGATATGAAGTAATGGGAACTCTGATCCGCTGCGGGTGGGAATATAAATTGGTACAACTCATTTGGACAGAAATTGGACACTGTGCAGTGAGGGTGGAAGTAATTAATTTTATGCTACTGCCCAGCAGTTCTGCTGCTATGAAAACTGTCGTCTGGGTGCCCAGGGGATAGAGACTGAGGTCCTCATGGCAGCCTTGTGTGTAACAGCAAATACCTGGGTATGACCCAGGTGCTGTCAGTCTTCGTGAAAACATGCACTAGAATATTTCAACTAGTTTACCTCCATAGGGGGAGGGAGTCGGATGGAATGGAGGAAGGCCTTCGGTTGTTTCTGTGATATATTTTTGTTTCTTACTAAAAAGAGGCGGATATAGTTGACCCTTGAACAACATGGAGGTTAGGGGTGCTGACCCCCAAGCAGTTGAAGGTCTGAGTAGCACTTCTGACTCCCCAACAACTAAACTATTACTAGCCTGCTGTTTGACCAGAAGCCTTACCAGAGGTGTCCACTGTTAACACAGAGTTTGTATTTAGTACTGTCTACTGTGTTCTTAAAATAGGCTAGCGAAAAGAAAATGTTAAGAAAATCATAAGGAAGAGAAAATAGGTTTCCAGTACTGTACTTACTCATCGGAAGAAAAATCCGTGTGTAAGGGGACCCTTGCGGTTCAGACCCATGTTGTTCAGGAGTCAGTTGAATAGAGAGACCTGGGAGATGGGTACATGGCGTTTCTTATATTAAATAGACAGGCATTTTTTGAATGTTTGAGACACTTCATTTCTTTAGTGGTTAAAAAAAGAGCCTGAAATGGAGGGTTGTCGTTTTGCAGTGGCATGTCACAGCGAACTTCCATAGTTTTGGACAAAACCAATTTGCTCTTAGGTGGACCACATTTGAGAAGATATTTAAGGAAATTCAGTAGTTTAGTGTGTTTTTGAAAGACTGCCTCTTTAAGGAATTTTCTGTGAGAAATGCTTAGAAGTGTTCTGCACAGTCTGTTGACACTGTTATAGTCACATAAATTAGTTGCATCATCCTTTCAGATTTTTGCAGAAGCATTTGGTATAATAAACTGTTTTTGCCTCTACTTTAGACGTGTTACAGCACACCATAATCCACAAGAAACATACCGGGAAAAGTCCCCTCGTGAAGTACGTATCTGATTTCTAAAACGTAAATGTCTTTGTGCATTTTTAATTCACTGGGTCACATTTACTTGAATTACTGATACATTTGGCTGTAAGTCTGCCATTTTACTGTTGGCTTGTTACTTGTCCCCCCTTTTCTGTGTTACCTTTTATTTCCCTCCTTTCTGCTTTAGGGTGGCTTTTATTCTGTTTTTTCCTTCTCTTAACCTTGATTGTTCTGTATCGTTTTCAGTTCTTCTGGTGGTTACCCTAGAGATTGTATTTTACATCTGTAACTTACTACGGTCTGATATGAATAGTGCTTGCACCACTTACCCTGTGAGGACCTTTAATCACTGTTGCTTCCCTTTCCTTCTCCCGTAAGTGTATAATCCGTAAGTGTCATGTATTGTTATTCTCCCTGTATTTTAGAGCTCATGAAACTCTTCACTCATCAGTTAGATGTTACCATTCCAGCGTCCTTCATTCTTGCCTGCGTGTCTTAGCATCCATCTGTGATTTCCTTCTCACTGCGGAACACCAAAGTATTTCCTGTGTCCTGCCAGTGATGCATTCACTTTTTTACCTGGGAAAAAAATGTTTATTTTGCCCGCATTTTTGTTGGATACAGGATCCTAGGTTGGCGGTTACTTTCTGTGAGCGCTTTGAAACTCAGGTTTTACCGTCTTGCTGTTGAATGCCTTTGGTCCCTCACATTATAGCCCCTCAGCCCAGCTCTGGCTCCCCTCGTTTTCTCCTGCCCCACCTAAGCTGTAAGCCTGGCCGCCTTCCATCTCGGGGCGTTTGCTGGTTCTGGGGACCGAGTTAGCTCTCAAACAGGCACAGTCCAGAAATGCAAGTTAATTTGTCCCTGGGTGTCAGTGCTCAGCTGATGGGGGAGCTCAGCTTCCTGTCCTTTGACTAGATAGTCCTGGGAGGTCCCAGCTGCTTTGAGCCTCTGCTGCCTCTGTTGGCGACCTCAGTAATGGACCCTCACATTGGTTTCTCCTCCTTTCCTGTTTCCTTCTGTGTACTCGTCGTTCCTGCTTCCTGGGGCCACCTACCCTAGCCACCATGCCATCCCAGATCCTGCTTTTCTAGGGGGACTAAGAAAGGCAGCCGGCGTTCATCGCTTCAGTCTTCTTGTTGCTCTTTGGAAGTTGGTGTGCTTTTCAAGCTCTGGCTGCTTTTTAGGATTTCCTGTTGTCTGGTTTTCAGCACTCTGCCTAGGGGTATGTGTGTAGCCGTCTTTGAATGAATTCTACTTCTCGAGTCTGAAGCCTGATACCTTTTGGGTTTAGAGAAGTCCAAGCCATGATCTCTTCAGATACTGCTTCTGCCTGATTCTCTTGTTTTCTCTTCTGAGACCTGGACGACTTTGGGTGATAGACTTCTCACCGTGCCCTGCGTGTCTCGTCAACTTTTCTACATTCTCCATGTTTTCTTCCCCTCGGCGCTCCAGTCTAGTTTCTTCTGACCAAAGTTCCTCCTCATGGACTTTGTTCGTCTGTTTCCATCCACTGAGTTCTTACTTTCAGTTTCTTTTACAGTGCCAGAGTTGAAACTTTTTTTATTTTCCAGGAGTCTTCCAAAATGTCTCATCGTCTTGTAGTCAATGACATGTTAAGCACTGTTATTTTAAAGGCCCTGTTCAGGGCCTTCCTTCTCTGGATTCTTTTTGAGTCTGTTTCTTTTGGTTTTCAGTCGCATCGTCCTGTCCTTGAATATGCCTTAGATACATGCAGCTCTTAGCGGTCCTCGCAGGATCAGGGCCACCCGCCAGCCGGGGATGGCACAGGGTGACCGTAGCATAGAGTCTGAAGACAACGTTCATTCGTTACTAATTTCATTTGAGAAAGGTATTAATTCTTATCTTAGATCAGATAGCTGTGTAATAGTTTATTCTCATAGTATACTTTTTTTGCCCTTAGACGTGTCACTAGGCATTGTGTAAAAAAATAATATACTGAAGAAAGGGTCACTGCAGCTGCTTCATGCTGTGAACAGTAGGCCCCGCTCTTGAGGGTAGATTTTCATGCACGTGTAAACTTTCCTGATAGCACTGTCGGTACAAGTTGTTCTCCACTGGATGGGCTCACCATGCAATATTCCGAACAGAATGGACTCGTGGATTGGAGGAAGCAAAGCCGTACCGCCATTCAGCACCCGGAGCACTGTGTGGCCTTAGCTGACCAGGTATTGGAGGGTTTCGTTTCTGTCTTTGCGCGTGGCTGCTCTAGAAGAGTCGAGTCCTCTGTGCATTATTATGTCAGATAGTGTAAGTGTTGGACTTATAAATTTAACTGGAATATGTGGTCTAAGCTCTTCTGAGACCTGAAAGAATACGCTGAGATTGCCTTTATTGCTCAGAAATTTAGTACCTTTTGATACAAATCCTTTCATGTTTATTCTAACTCAGGATACATTAAATGGTTTTGCCAGATTTTTTTGCTTTTGAAAGAATTATTCACCGTTCAATTGCTATCTTGCTGTTGGTGATGTGAATTTGGAAACCGACCTTTCCTCATGAATAGTTGGGGCACTTTCTCCAACTCCTGAATGTAATTAGGAAACATTTGCTTTCTTAGGAGTTGGTGTAGTCAAAGCACAGAATGCTCTCAAGCGTGTCCGTTTAGGTACGGTAGCACCACAGATACCGGGGGATGCTCACTGTGCAGCTCTGGAGAGAACCACCTTCTTTCTAGAAAATAGATTGGTTAACCTGATTTTTTTTTGTGGACAACACTCAGATCCAGATGTTAACCTTTACTGGAATGCGTTTTTACAAACTAAAGCACTGAAGCATATTTTGAGAAATTATATGTTACCTTAGTCCTACTTAATGGCCTATTTTCAGAGTCCATTTGATTATGCCTTTTCTCTCTACTTCAGTGCCTACACCTTCTCCCCTTAAAGGTGACAAAACTGTTTTGAAGTTTTAACAACCTGAACTTTAAGGGAATTCTGTTGAAGGTGTAGCAAATACCGGTTTCTTGACTGTTTCATTTTGTGGTCAGAAGAAGGAATACAGGTCCATTTTTTAAATTTATTTATTTATTTATTATTTTTATATTTTATTTGAGAGAGAGAGAGAGACAGCATGAGAGGGGAGAGGGTCAGAGGGAGAAGCAAGCTCCCCGCTGAGCTGGGAGCCTGATGTGGAACTCGATCCCAGGACTCTCCGGGATCATGACCTGAGCCAAACAAAGGCAGTCGCTTAACCAACTGAGCCACCCAGGCGCCCCCAGGTCCATTTTAAAAACAAAATACAAAATAGGTACTTTTCTTAGGTTAATATTAAGTATTTATCAGAAAATGTGCAGATTTTAGTGATTCAGGTAGGTATTTTCAGGAAATAGAAGTCAGCATTTATTAGAATATACAACTGGGAATATGTCATTTTAATGTTTGGTCCCAGAATAGAAGGGTAACAACACAGTATGGTTTAGTTTTAGTCTGTTTGATTTCTTTTTATTCTTTCCATTAGCATTCAACTGAGAAACGAGGCTTATCATCAATAAATAAGAAGAAAGGAAAGCCACAAATAGAAAAGTAGGTTCAATGTAATTTTCCAGTAATAGAAATTGGTAAGAAAGGCAACATGTGGGATTTGACTTTGGGCATGTTTAGTTGACGACATACAAATAGTATTTTTCTACTAGTTCTCACCTTATTTTTACTTCGAGCCTTAATTTTTTTTTTTAATTTAAAATTATCAACAAATGCAAATGATTGAAATAAAAAGCTGTTGCCAAATCTATTTAGTTTGGAGGAGTGCAGAACTCTCAGAACTGTACACTAAAAGGTGAATCTTGCATTTAGATTATAGCTTACTAAAATTTTTTTGTAAAGATTTTATTTTTATTTATTTGCCAGAGAGAAAGAGAGAGAGAGCGTGCGCAAGCAGGGGGAGCGGGAGAGGGAGAAGCAGTCTCCCCGGTGAGCAGGGAGCCCGACATGGGGCTCCATCCCAGGATCCTGGGATCATGACCTGAGCCAAAGGCACACGCTTAACCGACTGAGCCACCCAGGCGCCCCGAGGGGGAATCTTAGTAATACTAATTAACTGTGTTCTCTAGAGAGGCTTATAAAAAATGTCGGTAACGTGTATACTTTGGGTTTAGGGAGAAAACGATGAAAACTGACAACAGATTGAATAGTAGAATAAACGGTATTAGACTCTCTGCTTCTCAACATGCCCATGGTGGTTCTGTGAAAGGTAAGAAAGTTTTTCTTTTAAATACCCATCCCCTAAATATATTTACCATGATAGCTATCATAGTAGGTATTGAACTGTTGTGTCAAATCGTGATATACTTTGATCCTGCACTGATGAGAATAGCAATTTCTGGATTAAACCATTCTGAAGTAGTAATGGCGTTAATTGAGGATGTAGGATTCAGCGGTGGAGGTACACCTTTCCTTTGCCACAGTTCTGTTTACCCACCTTCTCCTTCCTCTGGTAGCAACCAGCTCCTCACTTGTTAGCTTCTTAAGCCAGTCCCTGCTCCAGAGCAAGAGGTCCAGACACCTGGAAGATCTTTTCTACCCTCATGGAAACCTGTCCTTGTTTCTTGTGTAAAGTCATTTTTTGGAATCTTGTTGACGTTTTCATGTTTTACTGACCATCCTTCGTGGGGGTTTTATGGAGATTTAGGGGGAATGCAGACCCGCAGATTTTTATTGTGCTAGATTTGTATAGTTTCCATTTACCCACTTTTATTTTAAGGTCTCTTTGGTTTTGTATTCTTTTGAGAAATGTCCTTTCTTGTGGTTCATTGATAACTTTTCGGTGTCGTGTTTACTATTAATAGGAAAGATAAAAGAGAAAAAAGCCCATAGACTGGTAGGAGAATGCTTTTTGCTCATGTGTGTACCTAACACTTTTGTTGACTGGACTGACCTCACAAATTAAGGATTTTTTTAATTTAAATTCTATTCAAATATTAGCACATTCAGTTATGATACAACATGAATAACCAGAATATATTTTTTTAATGGAGTATGCTTTTAAATCAGGTATTTATTCAGAGAGACTGAAAATTGATACAGGAAATACGGTTACATTTTGATTCTAAAAATCATCTGGCCAACTCATTGAATTAACCAGCTGAACAACTGTCTTTGGGGAAAAAAATGACATGGAAAAAAACCCCACGTCGTTGTTGGGTTTATTGTAACACTTCACTACCTTTGAGGTTTCCTGTGGTGGTGGCAGCTAACAGGAGGGGGAAAAGCTGAAATAAGAACGACGAAAGGCCTCTGTCAATGGATGGTTGGAAATTACTTCCCACACCCCTCCCTGTCTCTGGTCTTCCTCCCTCCAGCTCATTTTCTGCACTGCCCACATGTTTGTCTCCTGGATCACTTACTACGTTGGGTCATTTCCCAGTGGAAATTTCTGTCAAATGTGTCCCACCCTCAGAAGATCACTCTGTCTCTTGTTTCTCACATAATTTGGGAATTGCTGCTTCCGTGAGAAGCACATGACTCTTCTTTCCTTGTTAGCTTCCTATTTGCGGAGAAGTCCTATGGACTTTGATCTCAGACACACGTGGATTTGACTGTTGTACTCCGCAATGTGGTTTTGTAAATGTGTGGCCTCTCCGAAGCCTTATTCTTCTATTTGTAAGACAGGAATAATAATCTCCTTCCCTAGATTGTGAGAATTAAATATGGTTGCATCTGAAAAGCATTTCTCCAGTGCGGAGCACATCGGTGCTTAGTAATTTAGTTCCTTTTCCCTATTCAAAGGTAGAAGAAAACATACACTGTGTAGGTTATTAAGAACTTCTAAATAACATCCCAAACTCCCAGATCCTTTGGCTCTTTATTTTCCAGTATTCTGAAAATACAACATCTGGATTTTTTGTTAAGAGAAACATTCTGTCCTGAAGTGTGACTATATATAAAATCTTTAACTTTGCATTGATGTCAAATGTAGCTCAGATGTTTGCCGACTCTGATTTAAAAATAAAAACAACTCTCTATTTATTAATGTCCCTTTGAAACATTAGGGTATAAAGAGGGAATGACCTTTAAGCATTCAGTAAACTCAAGATAGATTTAAGATGTTTTTCTTTTTGGAAAAATCTTGCATGTCATAAAGTGTAGAGACTGTATTGGAGTTGAAAATATCAGATCCTTCTGATTGGTAGGTTGTCCTCATCTTTAAATAACCAAGAGAAGTGTTACTCATTTTTAATCTTAAAATTTAACTTCCATTTTGAGTAGTAATACATTTATATAGTTCAATATTCTGAAGATACAAAAGGGAGCAAAATAAGTCTCTTACTGCCTCCCTTTGTGTTGTCACCTCCCAAGAAAGCAGGCAGTCTTCTTTGTCATCTATATTCTTTGCAGTGTATTTGCTTTTAAAACCTCCAGCTTTAAATCTCTCCACTAAAAGGGATGCTTGCTTAACTTCATCTGGGTTAAGAACTTTGTTCCACGGTATCACCCTGTGTTCCTTCCACCCCATTCTTCTGTTGTGGATTGTGGCACCAAGAAGTTTGGGGGGCCGTGAGATAGTTGACCTCTCAGTAATTCTTTTAAGAGATTGCAGAGACTTAAAAATCTCCAGCTTCCTTTCATAACCCACCGTGGTTCTGTCATCTGATATACCTACATGCTTCTTCAGTCCACCTTAACTTCTGTTTGTTCGTACATACTAGTAAACAGGATTTTTATTGTTAGAATAGTGGCCAGAATAGAATATGGTAAGTTTTGGGGTTTTGTCTTCTTAATAACGTGCATAACCTTTTACCCTTTGAGACATAAATAGAAAAGTGTATGCTTCTGTTTGAAAGGACAGTTGGTGGAACATCCTTTGTCGTAATTGTTTCATCCTCTCCGTTCACACCTCTTAACTCCAGAAGGTCACATGATTCCTGATGAGAAAAATTCCAAAGACTCTGTACCTTCTGGATCATCAGAGAGAGAATTATGTTTAGTATAGATTTAGATTTATATTTAGTTCCTTGAAAACTGCAAATTATTATATTTGACAATTTGGTGATTAGAATATTGACTAGCTACATAATCTAGAGTTAAATCATTCTATAATTTGGCATTTGGAGAAATAGCTGCCCCCCCCCCTTTTTTTTTTTTTAACATATTCCAAAACGTACTCTTTGAAGTTTCAAAGACTCCACTGTAGTTTCACTCTCTGAGTTTTAGGGAGCAAATCTCAGCTCACCCTCCCCCAGTGGCTCCCTTTTAGTGCATCATTTCTGGTTTTATACGATCATTGAATCTTTGATTCCCTTAGTAGAATTGTTCATTTTGTTCATTTTGCTGCTTGAAATATTTATATGCACAATTTGCATATGTGCCACCGTTGTATAGGTTTTATTTTCATTAGTCCAGTTTAATGCCAGGCTGTTTGGCCACCGTGGCACATTAAATCATCTTCAGATCACCGTTAGTGTTGGCTTGCATCCCTTTCCTTAGTCATGTTGTGACTGGTGGTAATGCAGAACCTATTCCGTGTATAAGTACACTCCAGCTTACTTTTCTGTAAAATTATTACTTGCCCAAGTCACTCCCCTGCCACTTTTCTTACAGTCTCATGAGATTTTGTGCGGTTTTCCTTTGGCAGTTTGGCATTTTATTACCCAAAGGGAATTAGCAACATCTGCATTCTTAATGACTTTATTCTTTAATATCACTTCACCATTGGAGTGGTTGGGCTAGGCTACGTCATACTTCACCGTACTAACACTGTTATAAATTTAATTTCAAGGTATTAAAGGACACAGATTAGTCAGCTGCCTTGTTCATTACACAAACCATATCTTTTTCTTCCTAACACATATTTTGTGCAAGCAATTACCTTTTATTGCTTCTACCAGGTTGCCATAGAAATGGTTCATTCATCTATATAATTCTAAAATACCTCCAGAATTCCTTATATGGGGATTTATCTACTAAACATGTGTTGAATGCTTGCTGTGAGGCAGAAACTATGTTAGCTACTGGGTTTACAGAAATGAATAGAACCGTTATCTAAGTTTGGGCCAGTGCAGGAATGTCTAGTACTAGGTACACTAATAATCTTTTCTCTGTGCCCAAAACAGATACGGCTAATTGATCATGACAAGTTCTGTACTATACCCCCTACCCACCTCGATGTGGGCTTGGTTTCTGGGCAGAACTCAAGGGCCTACTCACTCTACTAGATGGGAAGCATTTGACTCTCTTTAAATACTCAAGCACAGTGATTTAACTGGATAAGCATTTTTGGCAGTCAGTTCTATTCTTGAGTTCTATTAAAGAATGAATTTTCCAATAAGCTCTGAGGAGTTAAAATATCCAGACTTAGAAAATGGCTCCTTGCGCTGTTATTGCGCAGACCCTACAAAGAACCTTAACTCTGATTTTTTTTTTAAAGTCGGTAAGATCAACTTGTTCCTCTGCCTTTATTTTAAGAATGTATTTGTTATTCAGGTATTTTCAATTAAAATTGTGTTTTAATAATGAATTTTTACCTAGATCAAGGACCAGCTTTTTTAAGTGTTTATAGAAAAACTGAGAGAAAAAATTTTTTACAGCTGTAACTAATTCTAATGGTTCAATTCAGAAATTAATTTAACTACTTAACATGATTCTTAAAAAATAGAATTGTTATTTTCAGATGTGAATTTGGACATTGGATCTGGACATGACACATGTGGAGAAACCTCTTCAGAGAGTTACAGTTCTCCTTCTAGCCCCCGACATGATGGAAGAGAAAGCTTTGAAAGTGAAGAAGAAAAAGACAGAGGTTTGCTTTCTGGAAGGGTTATGGGGGTGGCGGAGGAAAATGTGTGTTGTCTCTTAAAATCAATCAGACATAAGTAATTTTATGTTCCTATAAATGTCATTATTGATTTTAAATTTAACTGGTATAAAGGGTGTCTTATAGACCACCAACTTGGCAGTTCCTAGCGATGTTGATTTTTTTTAAGGCTTTATTTCCCTGCATATGAAATTAAGTAGAAAAATAGTCATAATAAAGAGTTCAGTGTAGAAAAATTGAAAATGTGTGTGTTGCTAGAGGTACATATTTATGATATACATATCTTCCCGGTGGATTGATCCTTTTATCATTATAAAATATCCTCTTTTTTTTTTTGTCTCTAGTAAGAATTTTTGTCTTAAAGTCTATTTTATCTGAGAATAATATAGCACTCTAGCTCTCTTGGGTATTATTTGCAGGGTACTTCTTTTTCTGTCCTTTTACTTTAAGCCGATTCGTGTCTTTGAATCTGAAGTGTGTCTATTATAGACAGCATGTAGTTGGATTATGGCTTTTTAGCCATTCTGTGTATCTCTGCCATTTGAGTGGAATGTTTAATCCATTTAATTTTACTGTAATTACTGATAACGCAGGATTCACATCTGCCATTTTGCTATTTGTTCTCTGTATGTATTGTCTTCAATCCTCCTTAAACAGCAGCTCAGAGTCAGCCAAAAGTTAAGAGTGTAGGCCTTTCTCAGGTCTTTCCTGGGCTTACATACAGCCCTAGACACGAGCATGGCCTTCTAGATTTTCAGTAATATGTGGAAGCTTTTCAAAGCTCCCTGTGGACATCTCATTCTTCTGGGTTTTTTTTTTTCTTCTAAATTTTTTGGTCAACCTCTTGTTAGCCCCAACTGGTAATGCTGCCTCAGGCAGCCTAGTTGTTAAACATTTGCAGCTGACTGATGGTGACAAATGCCCCGTGGGTAAGCAGCTGTTAACACAGAGTGAGCTCTGACTGCTGGGCCAGTAGTGACAGTTCTTTGGGGATGGGGCTTTTAAAGAGCTCCAAATCCATGCTTTTTCTGGTGGCTGCTAGTTTATCTAGCTACTGTAGCTGCAAAGCTTTTCATTTATAAAGCTACTTCTGAGCTGGAGAAAGTATACAGGAATTAGGGCAAGGTAAAATGCCACAGTGCTCACTCTTCTTAAGAGATTCAATGGCTTTTCTGGAATAAACACTCCTCAGATTGCTGCAAGGCTTTAGTTAATTTCTAGAGTTCTGAAAGAGTTGATTTTGACAGTTTTTGCCAGGATTCTTGTTCCTTTTATGCAGGAGCAGTGTGTCAGAGATCCTTACCCTACCATTCTGGAAATGAGATCTCAAAAATGTGTATGTTGAATGAGGATATCATTCTTTACACATGATAAAGACATCTGATTGGTAACATCTTGGTTATAGACATCTGATAAGGAACATTTTGGTTATAAGGTGAAGCCATGCTAGTGGGAAGTATTAAATGGTTTCCCTGGGGCCATGAAGATCTATAGAGAGCCTTAGACCGCAGCATTTCAGCCACGCGTGGCTTCTTCCTGGGCAGCGTATAGCTTCCTGAGACCTCAGCTTCTGTGTCAGAGTATCAGGTTTATGTGTTTGGGAGCTCCGGCAGGAGGGGCTGCTGCGTCACACACAGTTAAAGCCAGTCTTACTGGGCAGTTGGTTTGAAGCCCAACCACTGCAGCATGCAGTGACTCTACCCCTGGTTCTAATCAGAGCCAACACTATTTCTGATCTGCAGTTTCCTCATGAAAAAAAAAAAAAATGGAATAACTGCCCAGAGCTCTTATGAAGGTTAAATGAGAGCATTTTTGTTTTATTTCTATTTTTATGCCTTATCCAGAATAGACAAGCTTTCAGTGTATTTCATTCCCCAGGCTCTGCTTGATTCTGTGGGATGTACCAATAATCCAGGGGCTCTTGAGCTAACAATGCACATTTGGCCTCTTGGTCAGAATTGTGAAGAGTATTATGTGTGCACTCGGGTTACTTTGCAGCCTCCCTTTCCTGCCGTCAGATAGGCTGAGTTGGAGAAGTGAGAGGAACTTGCCCTTTTTCAGATAAGTTCCATTATCAAGTGACTAAGTTGAGCCTTCCCTAAATGAAGAATCATTTGGAATATCTAAAACTAGCAGGGGGAAAATATCCACTATGGGGAAAAAGCTTTAATCATTTTTAGAATTTTGAGCGTATGAAAAGGTTGCTTTAAAAAGCATGTGACTTTGTTGTTCTGTTGCTCATAATGGGGTTTTGTTTTGAGACTTCATACTTTTGAAAGCCAATGCAAAAAAGGGAGAGACTATCTCTAATTAGCTAGATGAGTCCTTACAATGTTGAGAAAACCTTTTGGGATCATTTAAACTCATGGGACCATTTGCCGTGACTTAAGATTTAAAGAAAGCCCAGTTCATACAGAAATGTAGTTAACCACCTGAAAAATGATCTGTCTTCTTTGGACTTAAATGTTTGTCTTTCTCACTGTGTATTCCTATGATGGTTACAGATACAGGTAAAATGCCTTGAATAAGTTATTAATTTTTGGATGTGTTTTGTTTTGAAACGTTTAGGGAAGTGTATGCTAGAACCACTTACTCATAAATTGAAACTCTTCTTCCTAAATTATAATAATTGAGTTAATAGCACTGTTGACATCCTGTGTCATTAAGCAGGTTCTATTTAACCTTTCTTGAGGAAGACTAGTATGATTTGTTTTTAGTATTGTTTCAAAAGCTTTTAACATCTTTGTTGAGTATAGTATAGCTAGTTGTTACCTTAATACATGTAAACTTTTTTAAGTACATGATACAGTTTTGCTTTATTTATGAGCAAAAAAGATGTTAAAATGGGCACTACATTTAATTGCATGGTTTCTCTACGTATTATTGCAGCATCTGGGTTTATGATACCTACATATTGTGAACTAGACTTTATCTTGTGCCCTCTTCCTACTGGAAGTCAGGACGGTCCGGCGAAGTCTAGATTGAAGCTGTTGCTGCGTACACACATAAGAGTGATTGCAGCAATAACACCGTATGCAGCGTCGCTTTGCATTTGCCGCTTTGCCTTGGGGGGGATGGTGGCGCTCTCGTACTTGCCTCGCTGCTTGTGCTCCAGGACCGTTTGTTTCATGCCTAAAACAGGAGCTTTAAATGTTCTTTTCCCCACTGAAATATGTAAAAGTACGAATATTTACTCCATTCTCTTCCATTCCCTACCTCTAGATCCTTGGGTGAAGGATAGTCTTGTGATTGTATCATGTGTGTGAGACCCATGTGAAGACCTTGGGTTTGGCAGTGCAGAATACAAATCAAGTGAATTGCCTAAAATTGATTAAAAAGATCCAGTCCTTTTCTCAGTAATAAGGTGATATTAAATAAATCTCAGTATTTATATTGTGCTTCATTCAGTCTCCAGTGAACCTTTTGTTGCTTATCTCTCCATGGATTTTCTTTTTTATGCAAGACTTAATTTTTTTAGAGCAGTTTTAGGCTTACAATATGATGAAGAGGAAGGTACTACGGAGATTTCCCCTGTACTTCTGCCACGTAGACAGCCTACCCCGTTATCAGTCGCACTCACTGGAGTGGTACACTTTTTACTAAGCGTGAACATCCGCGGACACATTATTATCACCCAGCAGCGCCTGTAGTTGACCTAACGGTTCATTCTCGGTTGTTACACCTTCAGTGGCTTTGGACAAATGTTATAGTGACTTGTATGTACCATTATAATATCATACAGATCACTGTCACTGCCCTGAAAGTCCCCTGTGCTCTGCCTCTTCGGCTCTGCCCTCAGCTCCCCGCCCCTGATGACCACTGGTCTTTTTATTGTCACTGTAGTTTTGCCTTTTCCAGAATCTCCATATTTTTTTTAAAAAGTCCATAGGAAGCTAAAAATTAAATGAAGGTCAGCTTGGTGGTCAGGAAACAGCGGGACACATCTCCAGTTCTAAACTTCAGAGTTGATTTTAGATACACTTAAAATTTGGGGTGCCTGAGTGACTCAATTGGTTAAGTGTCTGACTCTTGATCTCAGCTCAGGTCTTGACCTCAGGGTCGTGAGTTCAGGCCCCGCGTTGGGCTCCATGCTGGGCGTAGAACCTACTTAAAATAAAATGTAAAATAAAAAAAAAATAGATATACTTAAAATTTATTTCTAGCAAGAGATGAGAGTGATGCATGCTTTAACATCTGTTGTTTATATGTTTCCCTTAGACACAGACAGCAATTCTGAGGATTCTGGGAATCCGTCAACAACCAGGTTTACAGGCTATGGTTCTGTCAACCAGACCGTCACTGTCCAGCCGCCTGTTCAGATTGCTTCATTAGGAAGCGACAACGGAGGCCTTTTAGAAGATCCCCTCACTGCACCCAAGTATCAGCATATTTCTTTTATGCCAACTTTACACTGTGTCATGCACAATGGTGCCCAGAAGTCTGACGTTGTTGTTCCTCCACCCAAATCTGCCGATGGCAAGACAATAGGGATGCTTGTTCCCAGTCCTGTTGCTATTTCTGCAATAAGGGAATCCACAAATTCCACCCCTGTTGGAATCCTGGGGCCAGCAGCTTCTACTGGAGAATCCGAAAAGCACCTTGAATTACTGGCTTCCCCTTTACCTCTTCCATCAGCCTTCCTCCCCCACAGCAGCGCCCCCGCTTTGCACCTCACAATCCAGAGGCTAAAGTTGCCGCCACCGCAGGGGTCTTCAGAGAGTTGCCCAGTTAACATCCCACAGCAGCCCCCCGCAAGTCTGAGCATCGGATCACCAAACACTGCCTTTCTTCCTGTCCACAGCCCAGGTAGTTTTCCGGGATCTCCTGTCGCTACCACGGACCCCCTCACAAAATCTGCATCCCAGGTGGTAGGACTCAATCAAATGGTGCCTCAAATCGAGGGAAACACTGGGACCGTCCCTCAGCCTACCAATGTGAAGGTAGTTCTCCCAGCAGCCGGCCTGTCGGCCGCCCAGCCACCAGCTTCCTACCCCTTGCCAGGCTCTCCCCTCGCCGCCAGTGTGTTGCCCAGCCAGAATTCCAGCGTGCTCAGCACGGCGGCCACGTCGGCCCAGTCGGCGGGGGCGGGCATCAGTCAGGCCCAGCCTGCTGCGCCGCCCGCCGTCCCCACCCACACCCCAGGCCCCGCCCCCAGCCCGAGCCCCGCACTGACACACAGTACTGCGCAGAGTGACAGCACGTCTTACATCAGTGCTGTGGGAAACACGAACGCTAACGGGACAGTATTGCCGCCACAGCAGATGGGCTCGGGTCCTTGTGGTTCTTGTGGGCGCAGGTGCAGCTGTGGGACCAATGGCAACCTTCAGCTAAATAGTTACTACTATCCTAACCCGATGCCCGGACCAGTGTACCGAGTCCCGTCGTTCTTTACTCTGCCATCCATCTGCAATGGCAGCTACCTCAATCAAGCACATCAGAGCAACGGAAACCAACTTCCTTTTTTTCTGCCTCAGACTCCATATGCAAATGGACTGGTGCATGACCCAGTCATGGGGAGCCAAGCCAACTATGGCATGCAACAAATGGCGGGATTTGGGAGATTCTATCCTGTCTATCCAGCACCTAATGTAGTTGCCAACACGAGCGGTTCGGGGCCCAAGAAGAACGGGAACGTGTCATGTTACAACTGTGGCGTAAGCGGACACTACGCACAGGAGTGCAAGCAGTCGTCCATGGAGGCCAGTCAACAAGGTAATCATGAGAGCTCCCAGAGGACTTGTTTTTGAGTGTGCCCGTTTCTCCCTACCTTACTGAGCACGGTGATCCTGTTGTGGCAGAAAGAGCTGGTGTGTGTTCATTTACAGATGTTGTGCTTTTCAGTGACAAATCCAAAAATGCAAATGGGAAAACCTAGTGTAGACCCAGGTCACGCAGCACAAGGAAGTTGAGAGGAATTCAGTTTCCAAGGAAAGCATAAACCATTGAGGCACTTTTGAAGGAATATAATGGGAATTTGCGTTATATAATGTCAAATCGCTTCCTTGCCGCACTTTTTTTTTTTAAAGCTACCATTCTGTTTCGTAGAGTAAGCAAAATTTTTAAATACTGAAAAAGTAGGAAGTAGTGTAGTCATCTGACATGTCTGATTTTTAGTTTCTCTTTAGCATATCGATGCATAGCCAGCTGGTCTCATGCACATTCCCTCATGCTGCCCCTTTCCCTCCCAGCAGATGCTTAAAAAAAAAAAAAAAAATGCGTTTTAAGGAACAAAATATTTAAGCACTGGTTTGGGAGTAAGGGAATTATTTGAACTCTGTTTAATGTTATTACCACCAGAAACAAGAAAATGTTCTTAAATGAGTATGAGTAATATCACAAATTCAGCGGAGACGTCAGACTGTTTCTTTCGCTTGGATTTGGCTTTTGTCATTTTGCCAAATCTCACCCAGAAAAAAAAGTCTTGAATTGCGAGTGTATACTTGGCATTTTTAAAGGAAGATTGAGTTTGATAGCTTTAGGTTGCACTTAAAGCACAAACTTCATATTACTTTCTGAAGGTAATTTATTTTACCATTTTGGAATCGTAGTAGTGCGGAGGAAGCTGCCTTCTGCCGAGCATGCCCATTTGCTATCTTGTAGTGGTTTGTGATGCATTGCATTGTAAGCAGTGACTTAGCAGTTCTGTCTTTCCCGTTTTAGGCACTTACAGACTGAGATACGCACCTCCCCTCCCCCCTTCTAATGATACGTTGGATTCTGCAGACTGAAACAAGTAAAGCTTGACTGCTTAATACCCTGACGTGTTGGGGAGTCATGGTGGGGTGTGGAGGGGAGGAAAGGAAAGGTATTTTGTTTGTGTTTCTTTGTCTATACATTTCCTAGATTTCTATGCAGTTGGGATTTTTCATTTCTCTTGTACCGATGTCCAAAACAAAAAAGAATGCATTGCTTTTGAGCCTCTGGTCTCCTGGTTCAACAACAGGCTTATCTGTATGATACATGTAATTTAAACATCCAGACAAACTATCAAAAGGAAAATATTTGCTGTGCTTTTTTTTTTTTTTTACACTGAATACTTGCTGTGTGTAATGTTTACTGAATCTTTAAAACTGTGTATTTGACCTTTTTTTACAACACTGGTGACAGTCATATGGTTTTGAAAAAGAGAAACTTTGCTTCTTCCCCACTCGTCTCACTTTCACCCTAAAGGACACACATCTCCCCGCCACCCTCTTGGAATTCCAGTGACCTGAGGCAGGGGCAGTTGGCCACGCATCGGTCTCCACTTTCATGACCCATCCTGCCTATAAATCGAGGGTGAAATGTTTCACCTTAATCCAAAAGGAGACATCAAGTTCCCTGAATTGTGTGTATATATGTACTAAACAGCATCACGTAAACACATATATGCAGTGCTTGTGGTCCAAATCAAAATTAAGTGGAAGAGAGAGGAAGAAGTAAAACCATATGAAACTGAAAAAATATGATGTCTGAAGTGGACAAAGAGCTTTTTCTTAAAAAAAAACAAAACAAAACAAAAAGCCAAAAAAAAAAAGAGAGAGACTTTTTACTTCATCATACTTTTTTAGCCTGTTGCTTCAGAGAGACATAAAGTGAACAAACTAGTGTGAGTGTTGTTCTGTGTGTCTGTGTGTGTAATGAAAGTCAACAGCTGATTTCACTTGTAGTCTACCACTGTGTCGTGCTAAAGAGACACTACCTGAGTAAAGATTTCTTCTTTTCTCACACCAACTGTAGCAGTGTTATGTTGTGTTTAAAATGTGTATGGTTTATTGCAATCTGACCAGGAGCTCTGGTTTCTGCAAAAGTCAGGTTTGTTCCCTAACCCGTCTCTCGTAGCAAAGTCACTTTGATAACAGTTTACCACTATGCTTGATTATAATGTGAAAGACTGAATTCTGAGTGTGTATAAGATGGTATTAATCATGTCAGTGTCATGTCACTAAGTTTAATGCTGCTGTTTAAAAAAAAAAGTTTTTTTAAAGCCAATCTATGTACTAAATTGCTTCCAGGTAATTTTTGATTTCCTAAAGTGCACTGAGATTATCTGGAAGATTGGGTGTATTTTTGGAACTGCTGCATTCAAAAGCAATGAGCAACTACCACTGTATAGTCCTAGGTTAAGGGTCGGGGCTGGTTTTGTTTTCCCATTCCTCAGTACAGAGCAGAAATGATAGATTTTTGTTGTGTGGAGTAATGTCGGTGTACAGCAGAGGGACTTAAGTGTTTGGTCTTGGTTCAGAAGCCTAACAGATTGCTAGATAAAAGGAAAAACTTGAAGAAAAAAGAAGCTTCATTTAATGCTTCATAGGTAGCATTTATATTTATAGCAGCAATGTACATTTTGAAACTAACTTTCAGGGTGGGAGTTAAAGGGGAAAGGGGCGGGGTTGAAGGGGTAGATGAAAGCTTTAATTTAAAAAGAAAAGTTCGAGTAAAGGAAATTATTTTGATTAAATATATTTTATTTGATCTGGGTATTTTTGGACCACATTATTAAATTAATTGTTAAGCTGCAGTTGAGTTGTTCCAGTGAGAGTTTTGATAAGCCACGTATGGACCGCATTGTGAATCACTTGCCAGTTGTACTTTATGGAGCTTATTTTATGATTTAAAATACTGTACTGTACATAGGAGGTATGTTACCTTCTCCTTATTTGTATGTTTACCATATACTTTGATATTTGAAATGTTATGTACTGGAAAGGCCACTTATATTTCTAGAACAGATTGGATTTTATGCAACCCTTTTTCCTTGAATTAACAGCAATAAAAAAATGAAAAACAGCTTAAGAATTGTGGTTTATTGCAAATTCTGTAAAAGTGAACGAAGGAGGACATCACACATGGTGATTTGTTTTTTCTTTTTAGAGAATCAACCCATTATCCCCTGTAATGTGGGGCAGTGAATCCCAAAGTTTTGTTTTGTTACCATTTGGATGTTCTTCGGGCCACCCCCCCTTGACAGCCCCTCCCTGTAGGCCGCCCGTGACACTGAGCGACTGTGTTTCTGTGCACCCCGCCCCCCCCCCGCGCGCTGTGTGCCGTTTCCGGCGGCGGCTCCCCTCACCGGAAGTGTGGAGGACCTGATTTACTCTCGCAGGTTTATGACGATTGTGTTCTCCAGGCAGCTCTCGGTACAGTATCGAGTAGCTTTGATCCCCCTGGTTCTGTCTTCTCTGACCCAGTCTCTGGTCCGTTTTTACACACCGAGTAATTTCTGGGGAGACTCCAGCCTCGCGTGTGTGCGCAGTTGAGCCACGTCTGGCGGCCGTGACTCGGCTCCTGTCGCTGGGCCCAGGCCCCTCGGCGTGTCCGCCCGCGTTCGCAGCGGTGGACGCTCAGGGGCTCGGGCGCGCACGGCAGGGAACGATTGTCTGGCGCCGGCTCGCGAATGTCCCCCCAACCGGACCCGTTCGGGCAGCGGGGTCCCTGGTAGTTTGCGGAGCTCCGCGCGGGGCCTTGGAGGGACCCGCCTTCGGGTTAGTGTGCAGGCCGCCCGTGTCACCACCTGTGTCCCCTGCCCGTCCCTTCTCCCTCCTGCCTCCGCAGCCCACTGCCCGAAACTTGCTTGTTCCCGTGCTTTTTCTTCAGTCTTCCATCCTGCTCCCGCCACGCCGCGTGTCACTTCTGAGCTTTATAGGAAAGGCGGCTCGTGCGGAGTCTTCTGTGACTGTCCCCGCTCATCTGGCTTTGCGGTCCTGAAGTTACATTCCTGCAGTTTATTCATTTTCACTACCTTTACAGTGTTCCATTGCGCTGGGCGGGGGGGGGGGTGGTGGTGGCGGGGATACACACAGTTTATCCATTCTGTCCCCATTTGGGTGGTTTTCATTTCTTTGCTCTCAACAGGGGCGTTTTGATACCAGTCTCCTGGTTCATGTGTGCAAGAGTTCTCTAGGCTTTAGATCCAGGAGTGCAACTGCCGGGCTGCTAAGACCTCCGCAGGCCCTCAGTTTTCCAGGATTTGCCATATTGTTTTGCGAGTGCTTTACGTTCGCGCGGCCCGCATCTGACCCCCCAGTCCGTAGCCGGACACCCTCGCGAACGGTCGTGACGGTGCCGTGGAAGGCTTGGCACGGGAGAGGCGCTCGGACCCTGGCTCTGTGCCGGGAGGGAGCGTGAGGAGGGGGCGGGGCTCGGAGGGTCCCGTGTGGAGGAGGCACAGGACGGCAAGCCACCGTGTTCGGTGGCTCGGGCGGTTGGAGGCGGTGATGAAGGCCGGTGCAGGAGAGGGAGCGTTGTAAGAGAGTTGTAAGGTTTGTGGTTCAAGAGGTAAACCGGAGTCAGGCTGGAGATTTTGAGGCTGATGGAATGAAAAATTGGAAGTTACCAAGCTTTAAATGGAGGGAGGAACATGTTGACGATGGTATTTAAAGAAACGTGGATGGTCGAGGCAAGAAGGTTTGGCCCTTTGGAGGCTGGTTAGGGTGCTGGTGAGGCAGTGGGAGAAGCAGGGATGGAGGAGGCAAGTGGAAGCAGCCTTGGGCCTCTGAGCTTCATTTTCCCCCCGAGAGAAAACGAGATTGTATTTTAAATTATGGCCGTGAGGGATAAATGGACGAATACATGCAGAAGGTCCAACATTATGAAGTAGCACCAAGAAGGCACTTCGACGTCATTGAGTTTGCTTTTGATGAACAGGAGGATTGAGGTTACTGGTTAATAGACTGGGAAATGGGGAAGAGACCTGAGTCTAGGAGGAGGGCAGCGGGTCTGATCTCTTGGGTGGCAAAGAACCTGGCAAACACAGTTCTGCTTACGTTAAGGTTAGTTACTTCAGATCTGTCCACTGATAAAAAACAAAATATTCCTTGTCCTCAAAAATCAACTCTCATTGGAGAGCTTACCAAATTATGGCAGCCCTGAGCTGAGTGGCGCAGTCCGATTATTCCACACTGGAGTAGAAGAAGTACGTTACAAGGCAAATCCACATTTAACTTTTTATGTAAGTGCTAAAAATCAAATTTTTCTGAGAAGGTTCCATAAAGATTAAAGCACAGTGTAAAATAATCTTTTTTTTTTTTTTTTGACAGGTAGCATCTAGTACTTAAGAGCATCATCCATTTGAGCTTGGAAGACACCTTTTTTCAATTCTACATACTGATTACAAAAGCACTCTAAGGTTAAGGCAGTGAAACCAGATGGAGGCAAGCTGGGACAATAGTTCAACCCCATAACCCTTCCATCACTTCATCTCAAAAGAATAAAGAAAAATGCTGACTTTCCCCACCCTGGCCACCCCACAGGAGGGCCCATTTATTTTCAGGGACATGTGATGTGGGGGAGTGACGAAAACATGGTCACCATATCTCTGGACCTTCCTTTCAGGGGTGGGGGTGTTGGAGGGGGGACCAGCTATTATAAGAATGAAAGACTCTAGGGTCCAAGGGCTGAGAGGCAGGCGTCCATTAGGGGGTACCCTTTACATTGACCATGCACAGAGGGCAGTGCTGTCCTTTCCCAGAGAACGCCTGTTAGCACATTGGCTTCCATGGTTTGGATTCTGAAGGTCAATCTAGCATCAGCATTTCATCACTGCTTACAAATCACAGCTGTTGTGCCCGTAACGTGCAAAAGTGACTTTCTTTGCCATATCTTGAGAAAGTGACCTAATTGTTAAATTCCTCTTTTGAAAAATGTGAGCCCTCTGGATTGGAGCGTGGGTACACGTTTGCCTGAACTCCGTGTGTGTTTGCAAATGTCTGTCCATCCTGGGAGCACAGGGGCTGTAGGCTTCCTCTTGGCTGCTCTGGAAAGTGGAGCATATCACAGGTGGGGGCATCAAAGACCCTCTGTTCCCACAGTCTACCCCTTTGGGCAGTGACTGCAGTTCTCCGTCACCGGAGCTCTTATCCCAAGATCCCGTTTTGCTAACTTGAAATTTGGGCGGGGTAGGGGGGTACGGTGGGGGGCCGGGTGGTTCTTCATTTTTTTTTTTTTTTTTTCTTTTTCCTCTTCCAGCTCCAACTTGATCCGCTGTAAAAGGAGGTCTCAGCCAGGCTCTCGCCAAAAGAAATTGCTAATTGGGAAGCAGCGCCACCTGGTGGGGGACGAGGACAATGCAAGCAAGCAGATGTTCTTTCTCACTGACCTAATTTAGAGAAAATGGAACGTAAGAAAACATTTGAGATTGTAAGCCTGTGCCCCAAACCTTACAGAACGCAGGCAGCTGGCCATAAAAGTAATTTGAGCAATCTCCTCTTTCAGTCATCGCATTCAAAGTTTATTATAAACCTCTGACACGCACTGATGGTACCTGACGGTTTCCTCTGCACTCTTCCCCCCATGCTCATTGGTCAGCACAATGTGGAGGGTATGGGATCTTCCTCCTTCCCATCTCACAGATTCGGAACTCGGGGTTCCTAAGGGGTGAGTGCTGCAGACACACCAATGATGAAGACCAGGTCCCAGCTTCAGATTCATGGTTTGCCTCCTGTACTGATTCCCGCCCCCACAGGTCCTTGTCCACGGAACCTGTTAAGCCCTATAAAATGAGAGAGACCCATGGTCTTAACAACCTTGGGGCCTCTGGATTTCTGAGAGAGGATGGGGCCGGGGTCCTAGTGGGTCCGAGCGTCTCTTTTCTGTGTCTCGTTGAGGGACTTGGAAGATGTAGGATGAGGGAAAGTTTGCAGAGATGGGAAACCCCGGGACTTTCAAAACTAGCTTCTAAGCGTTTGCCTGTGTCAGATACATTCAAGGAGCAGCGACTCTCACCTACATCTGGGGTTTTAAACATGCACAAATATCCTCTGTTGGAACACTGAGTTTTTCATTATTCTCAGATGTCTCGATAAATTGAGCATTATGTGAATATTCCATTAGTTGTAAGCTTACAGAACTTCAGAAATAGCCGAAATGAAGTAGCAGGGCAAGCAGAAAAGACACATAACTACTGGTATGTTGAAGGCTCCAACATGTAGACCATCCCAAACACTCCCTCTACCAACTACCATCATTCACAAACAATCCAAAGGCCAAGAATGACGGCAGCAAGGTCACCTCCAAGCAGGAACAGTGACAGTCACACCCACCCTGAAAGCCTTCCTAAATGCTAAGAATGCCACCACGTTACCTGGTAGTTACTCAGTGCTCATCCTTGCTAGCACGTCAGGGTTGGGTCATGTTTGTAAGTAACATGGTCACTCTGTTGTGTACTGGATGCCTTCATCACATGAATTTGGGGAAGAGGTGACATCCACCATAATTTTGTTCCCAGCAGCCACCCACAGTACACATGACTTTTCTCAGGCTTATTTACAGAACGGAGAAAACAGTTCACTCTGTAAGACAGTTACAAGGATCACACTGGCAAAATATATAGAGCACTCAATGTCTGACATAGTAGGTACTCAAGAAATTCATAATGGTAGCCAATACCTTAATGCCCATGAGAGGCCAAGATACCCTTAGCTCATTTCAGCACCCAGCAACCCTGTGAGGTAGGTATTTTGCCCCGTTTTAACAGTTGAGGAAATGGCACAAAGACTAAGCATCCAAGGGCACAGAGCAATTAAGTGACACACTAGGTTGGAACCCATGGCTCTTACCCACTGGGCTACTCCTCTTCTTTGTGCCCATGTCACAGGATTTTTGTAGGAATGTCCATGTGATGATTCAGGGCTTCCAGTGATGGGATCAGGCCAGTGGGACTCGCAGGCAGGCTCTGCCTTAAACTCCATCATCCAGAACAACCGGCCCTTCTGGACCTTTTTCTTACCCGAAAGCTGAGTGCTTGGTTGGTAGTAGAAATTGAACTAAATGATCTCAAAATTCTGTGACTTGAAGCTTGCTTTTTCACTTTTAAAAGGTTTATTGAAGGTTTAGACTTCTTCACGCTTAGTTTTGGTTTAACAGATTTGAAGTCCTTGCTGGGTGTGATCAGGAACACAAACCCCAACTGTGGCCATAAGCTGATGGGAGGGGAGAATGTTTTCCAGGTCCTGGGGGGAGAACCCTGAGAGCCGACCTCACGGGAGTTGGCCACTAGATGGCAGCATAAACAGAGTTCTGGCTGGACGGGATCTAGCTGAAGAGCCCTTTCTGTTCCTCCTCACCCTCTGCCCAGCCATTGCTCCATTCTTCTCTGCTTATGTTGATAAAAGTTTTCATTTGCAGGGCCTTTCGGTCAAAAAAAAAAAAAAAATCAAGCTCATATACGAGTCTTGTGCCAAAGGACGGAGGGTTAGGCATAGCTCGCAGACTGGCGACACATAAGGCCCACAGATAAGAATGGTTTTTACATATTTAAATGGTTGAAAAAGAATAACTCTTCATGATACGTGAAAGTTATATGAAATTCAAATTTCAATGTCTACCAATAAAGTTTATTGGAACACAGCCACTCATTTATGTATTATTATGGCTGCTTTCATCCTAGGACAACTAGGTTGAATAGTTACAACAGATCCTGAAATATCGACAGTCTGTCTCTTTATGGAAGAAGCTTGCTGACCCCTGACATAGATCAGCCTCATCTAAATAAAGATGCACTTTCCAAAGTCTTTAAAGTTCTAATGTGTGAGTGTAGGAATTTGCACTCCATCTTTTTGGTGCTCTGTTTCCTTGGCACAATAAAAATAGCATCTGGTGCTTGAGTAGGCCTGTGCACATTCAGGCAGCCACTTAGCAAACATCTCTTGGCTGAGACCTCGGTGTGGTAAGGCACATAGCTGCGACATGGTGACATGCCATGGGATCACCAGGAGTGTGGAGAGGTGACCTCTGCCTGGCCAGAATTAGGGAAGGGTTTTCAAAGGCCACAACATTCTCATTGCGCCCAGAAGCAGGAAGTCGGATGTTCCTTAGCAAAGAGGTGAGACATGGCAAAGAAAACCTCATTAAAGATGAAGCACTGCCGTAGAGTGTATTGGGCCAGGAGCCGAGAAGGCAGGAAGGGCTAGCCAGAGCTGGGGGGGCCGGCTGGAGTTGTTGGGGGGGGGGCGCCAGGCCAGGGCCAAGGGCGGAGGGGATGGCGGTCTGAAGGCGGGTGAACGCAGGTCTATCATTCACCTGCGAGGGAGGCAGGAGGAGAAGCCGGCAGGAAAGACAATCATGAGTTCTTTTGCTCACCGGTGAGTTTGTGGCGCTAGAGTGACATGTGCTAGTCCAGTGTTTGTCTCAAAGTGCGGCCTTGGATCCCCTGCAGCATCACCCGAAGGGTTTAAACAAAAACACAGGTTCCTGACTCGCCCTTACCCACGCTCAGACCTGCAGAAGGGAAGGAGCCGAGTTTGGGGGGTGGGGAGTGGGAGCAAAGCAGAGCCGCCAAAGGAGGTTGAGAATGAGAACTCGGTATTCGAAGATGGGAGAGCGAGGGTGTGCCCTGAAGACCAAAAAATAACTTTTTTTTTCAGGGAAGAACTGGACATCCCTGGCCCATGCTGCCGGGATCCGTTATCGCGGCCAAGGAGCTTGGTCGTGGGGGTCGCCGGGGACTGGGCCGACGTTTACTACGGGGCGGGCGTGGGACCGCGGACGGAGAGGGAAAGGGACCGGGGCCTCTCCCCCTGGCGACACGGGGGCGCCGGGCTCGCCTGGAGCTGCGGCTAGGAACGCGAGCTGACGGCGCCAGGGACGCCGCGTCCCCGGGGTCAGGGGTCAGGGGGGCTCCGCAGCGTGGGCGCGGGGCCTTTCCCAACGCCGTGGGGAGCAGGGACGCAGAGCGGAGCTTCCCTGCGAAGACCATGTGTTGGCTCCGCCGTCGTGCAGCCTGCAGGAGCCTGAGCCCGAGCGCGGGTCCGCGGCCGGCAGGGGGCGATGCCGCGGCTGCGGGCCCGTCCCGCTGCCTTCGGCCCCCGGAGACCCCCACCTGGCCCACAAGTCACCGCTCAACCTCACACCAGCCATGGACGGAAGAGTCCCCGGGGCCACCGCAGGAGCTGTCTTCTAAAAGCTGGGCATGGTGCAGGAGCAGCGAGGCCCGCAGGGAAGCCGCCTCTGATCCACTCCGGTGGATTTATGGAGCTAGGAGAAGGTGAGGGGTTGAACTTTGCCTTCAGGACAGCGGGGGTGAGGGGAGGGAGGGCAGCTTGCTACACAGAGGAGCACGAATTCGATTTCTGGGGCAACCCTGAAACCGCTAAGCAAGCACTTTCCCAGCATTTCAGGAGGATCTATTTACTAACAAGTAAGTGATATTATAACTCTTATTTTTATATATATTTTTAAATGTTTTATTTATTTATTCATGAGAGTCAGAGAGAGAGAGAGGCAGAGGCAGAGGGAGAAGCAGGCTCCCCGCCGAGCAGGGAGCCCGATGCGGGACTCGATCCCAGGACCCTGGGATCACGACCTGAGCCGAAGGCAGACGCTTAACCATCTGAGCCACCCAGGCGCCCCTATAACTCTTATTTTTAAGGCAGTCCCTGGACAGCCTTTTAAACTCAGTCTAAGTGCTAATTTTTTTTAAAGGCAATATAACATGGTGATGGGCATACACCCGTCTGAATCCTAAGACTGCCCCTCCAGCTGGACCCTCTCTGAGCAAGCTCCCTTGCCCGTGGGTACAGATGACAGGCATGTCCGTGGGGCACTGTGCCAGTTAGTACGTCCCTAGCATACAGGGAGCTCTAAAACATCATAACATTTCCTTCAGGAATGTTTTCTTATTCAAAACCTGCCTTCCTATTTTAGTGCCTTTCAAAATTAGAAATGCCTCTTTTCTGTGCATTAGACTGCGCTTTGTTCTTTTGTTTGTGTTAGCCATTTCTATTTCATAGAATCATACTCATCCTATACATGCATTTGTATCTTTCCTTTTTATAATGGATGAGCCAATATTGATACTTTAATTACTAAAGTGCATTGTATTAGGGTTCACAGCTGTGTTGTACATCCTCTGGGTTTTGACAAAAGTGTGACAAAGGTGTGTGTCAATAGTGAATAGTATCCACTATTATAGTATCCTTTTTTAAAAAAGATTTTATTTATTTGGGGGGGCAAGCATGAGTCGGGGGCAGAGGGAGAGGGAGAAGTAGGCTCCCCAGTGAGCAGGTAGCCCAATGTGGGACTTGATCCCAGGACCCTGGGATCATGACATGAGCCGAAGGCAGACGCTTAACCGACTGAGCCACCCAGGCGCCCCCCCACCATTGTAGTATCCTATAGAACAGTTCCTTAAAAATCCCCTGTGCTCTGCCTCTTCATCCTTCCCTACCGCTCTCAGCAACCACTGATCATTTTATTGTCTCCATGGTTTTGCCTTTTCCAGACTGTCATATAGTTGGAATCATACAGTATGTAGCCTTCTGACTTAACACAGAAGGTACTCAGTAATTATGGTG